CCCCCAATCCCCAAAAGTTTCTCAGCGGATTTGGGCTGTACTTGGCAAGCGCAGCACAGCCCCCAACTCAGATTAAAAAAAAAAACAGTGGATGGTTGTTTTCTGACTGGTCGGCAGACCGGCGACCAGTCGGCCCTACTGGTCGGCTGCAATACGGTCGGGGTTGGCGGTCGGCAGGGGTGCAACCCTGATTCAGTATGAGAAAGACTTGCAACAGGTTGCAGAGAACATCCGAAAGGCACAATTCCAGGTGATCAAACAAGCTAACAATCACTGGCGCCCATCACAGTTTGCAGTAGGTGATCTTGTTTGGGTTAAGTCTAAAGAGTTTGTGCCTGAGGAAGGGATATCACAGAAACTACTGCCTGCACATAGAGGACCATGGCAAATTTTAGACATCAAGGTCGACACAGATGGGCCCTCATATACAGTAGAGATTCCACCACCTGCATACTTACCCTGTGTTCCATGCATCAAAGTTATTACCTTGTGTGACTACTCAGGACTTCCCTTCATCGAGATCGATGTTCCCGCCTCATATGGATGGCCACTATGATGTGGATAGAATTGTGGCCGAAGACGTCTTTAAGACGGGCGGTAGAGGGAGACCTATGAGGCAGTACAGGGTTTGATTTGCCTACCAAGATCGAGGATCGCTGGTTTGCAAGACGAGAGCTAGTTGAAACAGCCCCGGACATTGTGTCCTATTATGAGAGGGCGAGACGAGGGCAGGTTGTGTATGATCGGTGAGGATGTGTTCGTGGAGGACCTTGAATTTAGGCCGGCGGGAGTGAGAGGATTCACGTGACTACTAGCCAGGCCCTGTCGGGCCTCAGAAAATCTCGCCCTTAGGCCGAGGCCAAATTCGGAAAGTTGAGGGCCACGTGACTCACAGGAAAAATGCTAACACACTTGAGGGCCAGGGGCCCAGTCCAGAAGCTTCCTGTCGAAATTGAAGGTCCAGTCCCATTAGAAGTCTGCAGGGTCCAGTTTCGGGAAGTCGTAGGCCCAAGTCAAGAAAAGTCTAGAAGTCGAAGTCAAGTCGTTACTGGTTGGGCCTGGTACCAAAGGAAAAGTCCAGAAGTCGAAAGTCCAACCTTGCAGCAGCACCTTCAGGAAGGCACCGGTACCCAAGAAACAGGCAGTCCACTGTACACAGGCCCAAGCCCCAGTACTGTTCCAGGCAGGCCAACCCAACCTATGCAACTATATAAGCAAGCACAGTGCGTTGACAATTCATTCAGAGTTGCATGTTCCGGAAGCACTGCGCAGCTTCTGCAACCATCGCGACCCTGTGCCTTGTTGTAACGAGGAGGACGACGCGAAGCAAGTTGGAAGCGACGAAGCTACAGGCGGCCATAGCCGCTGGGGTGAAGAAGCTACAGGCGTCCATAGCCGCTGGAGACCAAGGAGGCAGGTGTTTTCAGGGATAGATCCAGGCATAGAGAACGTGAGGCCGTGAGGGAGAGTGCACATACATGAGAGAGAAGAGAGTGTGTACCTACCAGAGGAAGAGAGGGAGATCGTGTACATACTGAGAGAGGGAGAGAGAGAGGGAGACTAGCGAGACACATATCTGAAGCTGTTGTCTGATGGACGTTGCTGGGCCGTAGTGGGAGTGACCAGACTTTTCAGCTGACTAAATTTTTGGAATATAGTTGACTGTTCTCTTGGTATTCGCGACTCATGCGAGTTTGGAAACCTTTTGAACATTCTCTGCTGAGCTTGTTTGATGACGACTGCATGTTGAGATCATTGCATTATCCCTGAGTCCTAGGTAGATGTTGTACATGTGTTGTCGTTGGAGAGCACGTTCCCCAAGCCATTGACGGTCTTGTGAGCCCTTTCGTGTTTACAAATGCCTGTTGTTTAATATGGAACAAACAAATTTGTGCACCATCTTGTACTGTATAAAACAACATTACCTCTGACGATGTTGATCATTCTTTTGGGCTGTGCTTGAATGGGGAAACATAGGTTTTCACAGCAGCTGGAGTTCTCATCCTTTGGGCTGGCTTCTATGGCTTTAATGCTGGTTCAGTCCTACTATCAGCAGGACAATCACTTAAAGTCTGGTGGAATGGAATTGCACGTGTTTGCGTGAATACAACTCTTACCGCTGCTTTTTCTGCAGTTTCTGTGTACGTTTTGACAAGGTGAGTCCTGCTCTTTCCCACTTTATGTACGATGGTGAAGAGACAATGAGGAGGTGTAGGGCCTGAAAGGGGTTTCACGATTCAAACCCCACATTCGAACCCAATGTGGAGAGGCTCAGTCGGCCAGAACTTAAGTTACGAGTCAGCATCTCAAAAGTCGAGTCCCTGAAGCAAAAGTCACGTCCAAACTAAAATGAAAAATCATTTCGCAAAGGTCACATTCAGATCCTATTTGGAGGATCACGTCTGAAACTGTGCAAGGGCCGTGTCCGTCTGTGCAGTCACATTCGAGGCTGAGTAAAGTTTGTGTCTGTTCGGAGGATAGTCAAAGGTCACAGGCCCAGTCCAGTCACAGTTCCCTAAGCCAAGTCTGAAGTCAAGTCAAGAGTCCGAAAGGCAGGACGACAGCCACAGCAGCAGCAACCCTTTGGGAAAGATACTGGGACACACAAATCGTGGCAACAGGGAACGGGCATGGGACCCAGGCACAAATTGATCAAGAGGCTGGCTCAGCCAACAATATAAGAGACTGGCCAGCCTCCCATTTGGGGACGAAGGCTCATTCGCATGAGTGCGTGGAAGTGCTGAAGGCACTTGTGCGCCAGATGTGGGAAGCAGCGCTATGCCAGAGAGCAGCGCTGAGGTGATGAGCGAGGAGAAGGAGAGTGCTGGCTTGCGGGAAGGCAGCCATAGCTGCGCCAGCACCAGGTGTTAGTAGTATGGGGTTAGTATAGAAATAGGAACCAGTGAGTAGTATTCAGAGTAGATCCTCATGGGTGTGTGTGTGTATGTAGAGGGAGTGTGCATGCATAGTAAGGAGGAGATATCATGGGGAGAAGACTAAGACTAGTCAGAGAGAAAAGAGAGAGAGGGCTATGGTGGAACATACCTGAGTGAAAACTCTTGATGATCGAAGAAGACTTGTTATCTTGGTTGAGCGCTGGGTATTCTGGTGACGTGGTTCACTCTCTATGAACTGGTTTTGATAATTGAGTTGCGCTACTGGTCTTTGTTCGGCTTTCATTTGTGAGATGTGTGCGACTATACTTTTGTGATGCTGTGATAAATGCATGCTGTCTGAACACTCCATCGTGCGGTGAGCGTCAAGGTTCATTGCAAATTGGTATCGGAGCTGTACTCGTTACTCTCACTGGAGATCGCTGGCAGGCAGGTATAAGGCCAGCGAGAAGGAGATTGCTGGCATGTAAGAGGCTGGCAAGAAACAGATAATGGGAGAGATGATGTGAGAAGAAAGAAAGGAGGTGGTTGGGAGCTAGGAGGGGAAGTGTGCCGAAGAAGAAGGGGCTAAGGAGAGATACATACCTGCTGGAGCGTTGGAGCGTGGAGCGGTATCGTGGAGCTTTATCAGCGGATGCCAGAAGAAGCGAAGCACCCCTGGCCCCAAACCTGTTGTGTGTGATTGTGTGGTTGTCTGGTACCTTCCCCATTCCCTCTGGTGGGCGCTGCTGCTGTCTGGTCTGTTGACGAGTCTGGTCTGGAGTGTTATCGTCGCCAGGTCTGTTGTCAGGTCTGGTCCAGAGTGTTAACTGGTCTGCCTAATCTGACCTGTAAGTCAGGATTTAGGTGTCATCTTCACTACAGAGAGGTATTAAGATGCAGGGGTTGAGTCAGAAGTGAACTCGTGATATTGCAGAGTCAGATTGAAGAGGGAGTAGAGAGAGTGACTACAAGTTGAGCAAACGACATCTCTGTGACATGACACCCTGACTAATTAACGAAAGCAAAGTACAACCAGACATACACAGAAAAGACAGAAGATTAAAAAAAAAAAAAAACAGGCAGTAAAGTAAAAGAAAAGAAAAATTATGGTAGTATTGTATATTGTTTTTGTAGATTCTTGGTTGACTTCTGAAAGCAGCGCACAATCAGATTAAAAAAAAAATAAAAAAAAATCCTAGCTAGTAGCCACCCTATACCGATCTTGGCAGGACTGGGGGCAGTTACCTGGTGAGCTAGCGGAGGCTATCCCTGTGCTTTCACTCACCATGGACGACTATCCCATGTATGGGATGGTGGCCCTCTCGATCTTGTTGGGGCCGCTATTCAACCTCTTCTTCCCCCTTGGCTTCGGAGGATGTGTACCTTCCATATGATGACATTGCGATCAGGGAAGACAAAGCCAGGGATTTCTGTTGCAGAGCAGGCTGAGATAGATCGCCACCTGGCAGAAAAACAAACAAAAAAAGAAAGGAAAAGAAAGTAAAGGAAGTAGAAATAAAGAAAAAGGCAGAAGAGGAAGAAGAGAAATTGAAGGAAGAGTTGAAAGAGAAATTGGAAAAGCAGTTGCAGGAGGAGTTGAGACGCAGGGCGGAAAGGGGAGAAAGTAGTCAGTCTGGAGGACGGCCCATTATGCAGCTGAACTGGTTTGCTGAATATGGATATAAAGGGGAGACAGTTGCGGAAACAGAAGAAGAGAAAAACGCTTTCGTTGCAAAGATGGAGGCAGCAAAGGATAATGTCGAGAGAGAATTGTTGATAGCCGAAAAGAAAGCTGAACTGCATAACAAATTGCTGGCAGCAAAAAGACAGGAATTGGACGAAAGGAAAAAATTGAATGAAGAGGGGGAACGATACAACAAGAATTTGAAGCAGAAAAAGAAAAACAGCTTGCAACTGAACAGCAACTCTCCCTCTTGACAAGAACTGTTCTCCACACACAACAAGAACTTGCTCCGATAAGAAACACTGTTCAAAAGATTGAAAACTGCCAATTTGAGTTTGAGGGAATTTGGAATACCTTCCTGCAACGGTCGGCTCAGGAAATAGACCAGCACATGGAAGATTATATGAATAGGCTGGGTGATCAGATCGATAAGAAGTTGGGTGCGAAAGTAATTGAGAAGATACTCCGCAGTGGCGGAGGGGGAGATGGGAATGGAGATGGAGATGGAAGAGATGGAGACAAAAAGAAGGATGGAGTACAGAAGGAAGAAGTAGAAGAGATAAGGAAGATAAAAGTAAAAGTGCCGTGGACATACACAGGCAAAAAGGAAGAGAGTTTATTGCATTGGAGTGCGGCAACGGAGTCCTACGTGTATGGTCAGCGCTTCCCATACTGGGATAGAGTCCTCATGGCTAGTTCGTGTATGGATGGGGACGCAATGAGCTTTGCAATTTCCCTGCAGGAAGAAGCAGGTTGTCAGTCTATGATAGAGTATTCTCAGCAAACACGTATTGAAGATTTCTTTAAGGCACTCCGAGAAAGATTTGAAGATAAGAATCTAGCCAGAAGAACTGAAATGCTAATCTTAAATATTGCTGATCGAAAGTGGAAGAGTGTGTCTGCACTAAAAGCTACCATGGATGAACTGTTGCAATGCGCTGAACATGGACTCACCTCAACGCAAATTCTCAATAATTTTGCTAGAGCAATGCCTGATCCTCTCCGTACCCAGTTATATCCCCGCACCAAAGAAGAGGGGATGGCATATGAAAAATTCAGCAAGATTGCGATAGATCATGCCGCTTTTTTTTTGCCGAAGCCAATTACTGTCATTATTGGAAAGACTTGCAGGCCGGTAAGAAATGGCAAAGTCGCACTATCTCAAGGAGTATCCCTAGGAAGGACAACCTCCTTCTAACCTTTGAAGGAGGTGTCGAAACTCTGTCATATTACCAAATAGATTATGGTCTAGACGGAGATGCACCCAACGGACCGGTAGTTCAGGAGGGGGACTACGCGGCCGTTGCAGCCTGCGGGGGAGGGCGACAAGGAAGACGCCGTGGCAGAGGAAGAGGAGGCCGCGGACGTGGAGGTAGAGGAGGCCGCGAACGTGGAGGTAGAGGACCCGACACCCAGAGGGGTGGTAGCGAAGGTAGCTACTACGTGGGTGGAAGGGGCAACGGTCCCTCGCAAGGTGGCCGAGGACCTAACTCCACATAGGGAAGAGGAAGAGGCACATGGAATGGAAACTGGAACCGACCATATCCACCTCATCCAGGCTTGCCCCAAGGCAAACCGTGGGAGCAACTGGGAATTGACGAAAAGATATGCAAGAAAGAAAAATTGCTGGTCAGTGCCTCAAATGTGGTGACCCTAACCACATTGTTCCCTTCTGTCCAGATTACAAGCAACCAAAAGGGAACAACTAGTAGGGGTTTCAGTTGTCCCTACAGGAGCCTTGGATGCAAGCAGACCGACATCCTCCCATCTTGAGGCTTTCGTGGCAAAAACTGAAAAGATTGCCGGTCCCCACCTAGCTAGTTGTCCAGAAGTGGTAAGTGTATGCACTTCTCAAGGTGGTTCCCTCTTTGGCCTGGGTGATGAGTTGGCCACTCGTCGCCGAGCTTGGACTGAAATGAGAAAAGAAAAAGGGAAGCTAATCTTAGCAGATTTAGAAATAAAGAAAGAAAGAATAGGTGGATTGATTGATAGCGGGTCAACACGCAACTATATTATTAAGAAAGGTTTGCAAAAGCTGCGACTTGGGCTCAAGGTTAAAGAGTTAGATGAACCCATAGTGAGTAAACTAGTTGATAATAGTGAAATGGTTGTTAATAAGTATGTTGAAGGGATTAAGACATACTTCCGGCTCGAGACAGAGGGGAAGGTGGAACGTGTTCTCCACTCTCCGACTCTCTTAGTGGAAGGCAGTCTTTCTTTTGACATTATTCTAGGTACAGACTGGGGGAATGTTGCTAATGCAGATGTGAAGTTGGGATCGCATGAGTGTTGGCTTCCTAGTTTCCAAGGTGGGAAAAAGAAGATTCGTTTGTATCATGTATCGGGTAAAGAAAGCAGTTTGGCTCACTGTTGCATGAGTGCCCCCGCGTTCCCCCGTCATATAAAGAAAAATAATTTGTTTGATCAAGTGTTTGTAGCATATGTGCGCCCGGTGAAAGAGGAAGGAACTAAGAAGCAAGTTACACCCCAAGAAGTGGAAAATACACTGAAATAATTTGCAGACGTGGCAGAGGCCCCGAGTGGAGTGGTAGATTGACCTATTAAGCACCGGATTGAGATTATACCCAGTAGCCCG